ATTTATTTTCGTTTTATTGTAAACTGTAGTGAAACATGTTCATTCAGTCTTAATGGTGAAGACTGAATTATACCGACTAAATTGCAGTGTACCAGCCATTGGTCTGAATGACTCAACATCATGTGTATTACGTTGAGATGGTCGTGGGCTATTGACAGAAAATCCTACTTGACTTACGTTTCTAGCTAGTTGGTACTCGTTGATGAGACTTACCTATAATCTTAAGGAGACTGTTGCCTCCCATAGGGTTCGAACTCATATCACTGAGCTTTATAATTTGAGATGTTACCACTGAAATGTTCTGGACGTAACTGACCTTCTGTTCAACCGAAATATTTACGGCTAATTGATCGCTCACTAGTGAACAATTCTATGTTTTTCTTTTGTCCTCAGTGGTGACCGAATTCCATTGATTCAGCCACATACCTAAGTGAATCGAAAGCTTTTTGTATACATACATTTATTATTGCCTCTCGGTGATATGGTATCATGTAGCAAAAGTATTTGTTGCCTAAAATCAAATGAAATATCCATTGAAAAACTCGTAGAACAAATCATTTATACTAAGGACTCCAATCATTTTTGACTTGAGACCATGAAGAGGTGTAACCAACTGTATCGAGATGGAATTTCCGATAAACTGATAGCCTGAATGCTAGTCAATCAGTAATGCATGTTAGCAACACTAAAAATGACAGTGATCGTATTACATCGATAAGCATTAGATTTTTAATAAATATCCTAAAAATATAGTGCACACTAAAACATTCAAAGACTCTATCCTATATGGGATTGTAAATACGCATCGTTAAGATGATCCTAACTAATGTTAAATGCTTTTGCTATCTTACGACTACCTTATTGATATCCAGTCTATACTACGAATTCTGTTTTAATAATACGTTTGATAAATTACTATTAAAATTCATACCAGATACAAATTTAAGCCCTTAGCTTCAAACTATACTTTAAATGTGAGGTCTAGTGATACTAACTTGTTGTCGAAACCAAACTTGGTGGAGTGGGATTCAAACTTCCAAGCCCCCTGATATTTGAGCCACCAGTACACTCAATGTATATTTTGTTATATTTCATTCAGTCACAACTGGGATAAGAATATCTAAATATTCGCAACTATTTTATTCAATAGGAAAACATACACACGCACAAACTCCGTTTATCATTAAATTGATTGTGTAAACCATTTTTTAATAGTTCAATACAAAAAATCGCTTGAATGAATAAAACAAAACTGTACTTGTAGTTTGATAGACATCTGTTTCCATGACATTATAAGTTTGGTCGTATTTTTTTAAATTAGGCAACTTGATATCTATAGATAGACTGCTTCAATTCAGTATAATATTTTTTGGTTTTTTTTAGATGTCCTTTTTTGTTTCCATGATAAGTTTTCCTAAAGGTTTCTGTAAAACTCATCTTAGTTTGTCTACTCTGATTCCTATTTAAAAAGCCTTAAGTATAGACAGACAAACTGATATACTACTATTTGAGTATGTTCTCTTGTTTTAATCCATTATTATTCATTAATGTTTACATAAACTGATAAATTTTTAAACTGGTTATTCAAAAATAGAAGCTTGAAGATATACAATATTTTCAATATAGTCTTTCAAATATAAGGTAGATGAAATAAACTGAAGGATTTGAGGAAATCTACACTTTTTCCACTACATTAAATTCATACTTCGTCTAATTTCCTAACGAATTATAATCTACTTATATGTTGGATAGTGGCTAACAGTAAAATCTAGGATAGACCTTGTGATGCGTTGAACTTTAACAACTGGATACACTTGCATGTAGCTTAATGTTATTCTTTATCAAATAGAGACCGAAAATTAACAGTTATCATTTCAAACGCCAATGCGTTATCCACTAAGCACCAGAGATACAACAGTCAGCAAACAATTCAACGAGTATCTTATAATATCTGGGATTGCCTTCTTATTATTACTTAAAAAGATGGTCTTGAATATTAAAATTGGTAATTAAAAATCCTTACAAATAATACTAACAGTACTTTTTATTTGAAATTTTTTAATTAGACAGTTATAACATGTATACCACAGATATATGCGAATAACAGTGTATGATACTTGAAAAGTCCTCAGTAAACTATTTGTTATAGAGTAATAACACATATACATGAACAGTACTCTAACATTATCATATTTGAAAGCGTTGGTCAATTGAAGCTAGACCAACATGGAAAACCTGGATGCACCGGACGGTCGTTTCGTCCCATTGTGAGACTCCTCAGCAGTGCGCATCCACAATCCTGCCTCGCGAGATTCGAACCCAGGACCTACCAGTCTTGCGCCACAGCACTTAACTGATAGACCACTGAGCCGGCATCCGATGGTGTTTATGTCTTATATATTTTATATAGTTGAAATTACAAAGCCCCTTCTGATAATGATCATATGCTCACTAGTGACTGGCTCCATGAGGTAACTCGTAGAGTTCTAGTGAGAAGCCGTAACCGGTGGAGTTCAACCAGGTCTGTTGGGAGATATCAAATCACTGAAGACAATTGGTGAACGGGTGCTCAACTTCGTGGATTGGTTTGAGTTAGACATTAACACCATCGGATGCCGGCTCAGTGGTCTATCGGTTAATGCTCTGGCGCGAGACTGGTAGGTCCTGGGTTTGAATCTCTCGAGGCGAGGTCGAGGGTGCGCATTGCTGAGGAGTCCCACAATAGAACGAAACGACCGTCCAGTAATTCCAGGTTTTCCATGGTGGTCTAGCTTCAATTGACTCACTCTTTCAACTATGAAAATACTAAATCTCCACAATACCCTTACTGATAACTCTAACATTAATTTCTCTTAGTGTGAACTATATCTAATAGTATCACAATAGTATCAAATTTTTGAATATTTGTATCCCATATATGTATATGAGTGCATAAAAATACGGGAATTATATCGTATTTGACTGGGGAATATCATTTGAAGTTCAGATAATTGAGAACATCATTTTTGTGTTTATGGTACAACCTTTAAATAACATGCTTAATTTACCCGTCAATAGTAAACAGTTTACGTTTTCAAAAGGGGTTTTGTGGAGATTTAGTATTTTCATAGTTGAAAGCATGAGTCAACTGAAGCTAGATCACCATAGAAAACCTGGAAGCACTGAACGGCCGTTTCGTTCTATTGTGTTTTCTTATGTTATACATTTGATTGATCGTGTTATTTCACTTTCTTATACATGTGGTTATTAAATACAACTCAGTAATTGTGTAATAAATGCAAGCCATTAACTTAGAGATAGAAAAGTTATACTATCCAGTTACTTCAACTAAATTAGCTAGAAAATGAAGTTCAAACTTTTAATATTAAACATGACGGATGAGTCCTTAAACCATTAAATCAACTTCTTACTTTATTGAAATTTCCTTTTATGATGTTATTAATACTAAAATAGGGGAAAATCACTTTATTTTGTTGACTTGAAAACAGACATCCTATTGGGCGTTTGATACCATGGAACAGACGAAAGCAAGGAACATGAAACAGTTTGAAAAATCCCTTGTTTTTAACATTTCATTGAAGTAAGTTGAATGATACTCGATATTCTTTCGAGGAATTAATTATTTTCTTAATTATGCAAGTTATCACTTTTTCTGCTACTCATTAAACTTTTTTTCTTCACATACACAATATATTTGGGCACTTTTTTTGTTATAATCTGCTTATCATCCAATCTTAATTTAACACATAACTTTCCTCTTCCGAATTACAATTAAATCAGTTTCACAAAAAACTAAACTTTCACATTATTGTATTAGAAATTTATACACAGGAAGTTAAGAAAGATAAGGAGTAATATATTTTTAATTGGTGACTATCCCCTCCCTCAGCCACCATCTACCTCTATGTGCAACGATGACTGAGGTTGGAGTAAGCCGGAAGAATATTAGGGAGGGGGTAGAACTAAGAAATGAAAACAGTCTATGAAGTTAATGACTATTAGTCTAAGTCGTGTTGACAGTTTTTGGCTTCTTGGCTGGTGTCTAGGTGGCTAATGTGACAAGTGCTTGGGAATATTGAGTGATATAGCTCAAAACTAGGTCAGAATGAAGTGAATGCATTCACACTTTATCTTCTAGATCTTGAGTGACAGTGCTCCTCCACATATAATTTAATTCTATGCTCTTGAGATAAATTCTTAACGTTTAGTCTTTTTCATTAATAAAGTCACTACGATTATTTCAACTCCTTTGCTATTTGTTTTATTAATTGTATCTTACATTGCTAATTTAGTATGCTAATTTAGACTAACGTACAATTGTGTTAGGCTCTATGTTAAATATAACTGAGTAGTTGACTGTGCCATAGAAATTTCATATCTTTTTAATGACTAGTTGAACTGCCTATCATTTCTATGAGATCGTATATTGACCGATTATTCGGTGAATTTATATATATGAACATTATATCAAGTGTCGTTCAATTTTATTGTCATTGAAAACTATAGTGATCACACAGAATATATGTGTTCAGATTTGTCACCAAGTTGAAACAAACACTTATAGGTCTCTTCTTCTTAAATATAAAAAAACTACCGAATATGATAATCGTTATCATCACTTTCATCATCGTTTTCATTATCAGTACTTATTAAATATTGTAATGAATTATGTTCGAGTGTGTGTACACACGTAGGTGCAACCTATGATGATGATGATGACCTGTCTGTGGAATCACTAGATTCAATAACGTAGACGCGCATAAATTCATATTATTATTGTTTGTTTGAATCTTCCCATCGATGTGTTAGGACTGCAACTGGTCAGTCTCTAATTGGCTACTGGGTTCGAGTCCCAGAGTGAACATCAACTCTGAGATGCAGGTACATCCGGCTGACGAATCCCAAATAGAACGAAACGCGCGTCAAACTAGATTACACTGTTAGCCACTATCCATCTTTGCTTGTAAACGCACATAGTTTGAAAAAAAATGAATCCAAATAGCATAAGAACAGTAAATTATTGTTATAATCAGCACCATTGTTTCTTCATAATAACGATTAATAATATTAATATTAAACAATTAAGTGACCAAAAATGATTTGATTTTCATTGATAAAAAAATAAGACAAGATTATAAGCATGTTGTATGCTGTAGCACAACAAAGCTGATACCAAATATATGTTGTTGTTGTTTTTTTTCTTTTTAAACAAATGAATTCATTACTTGGAAACTAGAAAAGAAACTGTTCATTATTTTTAAGTAAGCATTGAAGTTAAAATTAATAAAAAGAACATGACGATTTAAAAAAAAGGTATTTCAATCATTCATTCAATAACAGTGAACTAGTTAGCTGGGTGTTAAAGCAATGAAAAGAAAAGAAAACATCGACTTGTTATTCATCGTAATGGATATGCTTTTGTCCTGGTACAAAACATTCAATCAGAAAACAAAAGCAATATCAATTTGCCGTGTGAAATACATATGTTTACAGTTTGTTTTCTTTGCATGTGAATTTAGAATTTCTCCCGTCTTCGATCGTCTTAATTAGGGAAAATGCATGATAAAAATACAAAGATGAAATTATTGGGTAAAATGTGAAAGGTAAGCCATAGTCAATAATGGGTGATCAAGATAAGGTTAATAAACTAATCGGAAAGCATTGATAAGCAAAACAATAACCGAGAATTAGTAGTAGTCATCTCTGTCTTATTAATGGTAATGTTAATTACAATAATGGAACTTACTAAATTTGACAAGAACAGTTGGATTTTCATTGAGTCTGAATAATGAACATATAGATTTATTTGATGTGTACAAATAATGTCACGAAAAAAAAGAAAGGTGTGTCATTTTTGCATTTATGCTATGGTAAGGTCATTTGTGTTATTCAAATGTTGGTTGTTTGATTCAGACAGGTCAGAGTGGTCAAATTCCATGGATGCTTTCATTGTCATATTTTGTTTCATTCCCTCAATAGTATCTTCCTCATTAATATAACTGTTATTATTAGTAAGATAATCATTATTGTTACTGTTATTATTAGTCAAGATAAGATTTGTATTGATGGTATCAGAGTTCTGATGATTTTCAAAATTATTTTCATTAAAAACAAATTCTTTAGCATTGTTTAAAACAGATTGAACTAAAGATTGAGCCTCATATTCAAATTCGTCATTTGCATTTATCAAATTTGTATGCAAATTCTCCGAAGTGATTACATTCATGATATCTGTATTTAGTTGAACATCAGTGTGATTTTCATCGTGCAATGTTTCAAGCGTTTGATGCTGATCAATTACATCATCAATATGAGTCGAGTTCAGTGTATTATGCAGGTTATTAACTGATTCTTCAAATGTAGTCAAAGTTTCAGTGTCATTTATTTGCTTACGATGAATATCTTCTGTTTTAAGATCTTCAGTAGAATGTTCTAAGTCAACGTCTTTAGTGACTTCTTTATTGTCTTCACTTAACACCAGTTCTGAAGTAAAATGTGACTCATTTGACGAGAAATTGTATTCCGTAACTGGTTCAGTTGGGCTTTCCAAGACTGTGTGAATGGACTTTTCAACAGGTATATTGTTGTTTACATTGCTTTCCGAAGGTGAAGTGTACTGATTTTGTTCTGCATGCATATCATCATCCAAATTATTAGATTCCGTGGTGATAGGAGATAAACTAGGCACTGGATCGTATGTCAGGCCTGGTTGGGAGGAGCATTTATCTAGTTCATTTAGTGTTGCCTTCTCGTCAATCGGTGCATCATGCTCTGTGTATTTAGGATGTGAGATATTCTCGGTTTGTTCTACATGTATTTCATCATCCAAATTAATAGATTCCATGTTTTCAGGGTGTGAGATTTTCTCAGTTTGTTCTACATGTATTTCATCATTCAAATTAATGGATTCCAAGTTTTCAGGATGTGAGATTTTCTCAGTTTGTTCTGCATGCATATCATCATCCAAATTAATAGGTTCCGTGGTGATAGGAGATAAACTAGGCACTGGATCGTATGTCAGACCTAGTTGAGAGGAGCATTTATCTAGTTCATTTAGTGTTGCCTTCTCGTCAATCGGTGCATCATGCTCTGTGTATTTAGGATGTGAGATATTCTCGGTTTGTTCTACATGTATTTCATCACCCAAATTAATAGATTCCATGTTTTCAGGATGTGAGATTTTCTCAGTTTGCTCTACATGTATTTCATCACCCAAATTAATAGATTCCATGTTTTCAGGGTGTGAGATTTTCTCAGTTTGTTCTACATGTATTTCATCATTCAAATTAATGGATTCCAAGTTTTCAGGATGTGAGATTTTCTCAGTTTGTTCTGCATGCATATCATCATCCAAATTAATAGGTTCCGTGGTGATAGGAGATAAACTAGGCACTGGATCGTATGTCAGACCTGGTTGAGAGGAGCATTTATCTAGTTCATTTAGTGTTGCCTTCTCGTCAATCGGTGCATCATGCTCTGTGTATTCAGGGTGCGAGATATTCTCAGTTTGTTCTACATGTATTTTATCATTTAAATTAATAGGTGGCTCATCAGCCGACAAAATTTTCGTTTCACCTGCATTCATTAAGCTTTCATTGAGCTCTTTTTCCAATGTTTCTTGGAATGTATTTTTCTGCTCGACATGTTCTGAAATTACATTATCTAATGTATTCTCAGTTTCAACGAAATTCACCTTGTTATCTTTATCAATGAGTTCTGAATTAGGGAGTTCTTCATTGTTAGATAGATCATGGAATGCACGAAGTTCAGCTGAACATTCTAATGATTCATTTTGTACAACCTGACCATAGATTGAATCTTTCTCTCCAACAATTCCTGAAGATTGAATGTTTGAAATAATATTTGTTTGCTGGTTATACGTCTGTTCATCTATATCATTAAGTTGTATCTCCTCAGGAGGTGGATATTCAACTACGTTTGGACGATAGAAACATATCACCGGTTGCGTCACTTCATTATGATTAGAACTTTCAGTATTAAGATTTTCTTCACCTCCCTGTTCTATGATATCATTTTCAACTTTTAACTGTTGATTACTGTCATGTTTTCGGATATTCTGATGCACAAACTCTTCTATCTCTTCTGAAGGAAGATATACTGGTGGATTTTGTCCTAATTTTATCTCTTCTCCAGTTATTTCAGAATGGATATATTCTTTTAATAAATCTGTTTTATCTTCAAAGTGGTGCTGAGTACTGTCAAAAAACCCATTTTGGTCTTTAGTAATTTCTTGTTGGTCCATCATTAGACCAGAATCATGAATAGAGTGGTCCAATTTTTCTTCTAGTTGTTGTTTATTAACTATTAGATCTTCAGTATGATTGAAATTTATATTATCATGAGTAAGAGAACCATTTGTTCCTGATCCAGTTATATTTTCATTAGGACCAACATTTTCCTGATTTGGTAAAACATGACTGATTAACAATTCAGCTTCTTCTGTAGAAATTTCCCTCGTTACATTATCTTTATTTTCTGGTTCATTAGTCGATGAAATTTGAATAGGTTGCTTCTCATCTTTTTTTTCAGGTATTTCATGTACGATAGGTTTGTTAGCGCATTCTACATTATGTTGTTCCTGTTGTCCACTTGAATGTTGTGAAGCATAGTCATTTTGATTTGATGTGACAACAGAGTTAGAATAATTCTTTTCATCATGTTCACTATCAAAAATGTCATCATGTTTTCTGTCTTCAGGAATTTCTTCAGTTGGTTGTAATCTAGTTCTTGTAGGCATAGTACTTGATCGGTTCACTGTAGTACCACCGACATCAGATGGCTTTTTATTAGACCTCCAACTCCAACGTTTGCGTATAGTAGCTGCTGAACGTGAATCTGTAGCAGGTTTTTCATCTTTACGTGAACTGAATCGTGACAGAATACCACCCATTGTGTAAGTAAACCACACCAGCAAGTTTGAATAAGTCCTCCAAACTGAAACTGACTGATTTATAAACTGTATCAAATATGATTGACAAGTAACCAATCAGATTACTAATAAACAATACTAGAACTACCAATCATCATTTTAATTAGCTGTGTGGATAACCTTGATTTTTGATTGGTTGAATTTGAACTGTATGAAGCAAGTTTTTGACACCAAACTTTTTGAGCGTTAATAGTGGCTTGTTATGTGTATTAAGTAAATGAAGTTCATTCCTCAAAAATAGTGATGGTAAACGGTTATGACAGAGAGACACGATTTATTAGATAAATCATAAGGAAGAGAATTGGCATAGCTTACAAGGAATTTCTTGTCAAATTTGAATCTTCGGATTATTATACCAGAACGAATGTTCTAATTACTAGCTGAATAACACTGATGAATTCCAATGTGTTTAAATATAGAATAAATAAGATGTAGGTAGCAGTGTAATCTTGAACGAGCACTTCCTCCTATTCGGGACTCGTCAGCTAGATGTATTTACATCCTAGAGTTGATTTTCACTCACGGGTTCGAACCCAGTACCTTTAACTTTAGACGCTCAACCTGCTATCCGCTGAGCTAATGAGCCCAGATAAGCACTAGCTTGTGGAACGGTATGAATTTTGACTTTAAATCAACTTTAGAGACCAGGTATATCTAAATGACGAGTCCTAAATGGAGCTAAACACATGTGTTTGATATAACTGCCATTAACATACCGTCTGTTTTATGTAAGCTTGTAACTTAATGCAAGTGTTTCAACTAAGACTGATAAAAATTCAGTCAAAATATGAACAATGAAATAGACTAAATCATTACAAATGAAATTAAATATATCAGAAGGAGTTTTGTGGAGAATTTAGTATTGGTTGAAGTTAGACGTTAACACCGTTGGATGCCAGCTCAGTGGTCTATCGGTTAGGTGCTCTGGCATGAGACTGGTACGTCATGGGTTCGAATCTCGCGAGTGCGGGATCGTGGATGCGCACTGCTGAGGAGTTCCATAGTAGGACGAAACGGCCTTCCAGTGCTTCTGGGTTTTCGATGGTGGTCTAGCTTAAATTGACTCATGGTTTCAATTATAAAATTAAATATGTTTAAATATTTACTTTGAACTTTTCCAAAAATGTTAAAACGTTAGAAAAGGGAAACTTAAGAAACCTTACGTACATGCTTTTGACTGCGTTTACGTTTTTTTACCCATTAATTCTTGGTGGTATTCAGTATCTCAATCTTTTTTCTATTAACAAGACATATTTAACTTAAAATATCCTTTGTTTCTATACTATTTATCTTAGATTTCTTGAGATAAAGTTGACAAAGAAATTTTTTATAAGGAAATGAAGTACATAAAGTAGAAATTATGTATTCATTTACATAATTTTCTTCTTAGTATCTCGAAGAGAGTAGTAACAGAGCATTTAGTAGAACAATATGAGGATTGATTTTAGTACGTAAGATTCTTGTCAGCTACTGCTTGGAATCTACGATATTTTACAGTCGAAATTCTTTATGACATTTAACATATTTAAGCAAACTTGATTAGAAATGACTATGTATCATCATAAAGATATAAGGATTCAAAATATTTACTAATAGTCTAAAGCACTAATTGATATTAGACCAATAGGGAAAACCTGGAAAGATAGTACGGGCATATCATCCTGGTATGAGACTCATTGGCAGCGCTCATCATGTGCTCCCGAATGACTAGCTTCAAGATCCAGTCCTTGGAGTTCTAGTGAAAAAGTGTGAACAGTGAAATTTAATCCGTGTCAGGTGAGAGATAGTTATTCATTAAAGGCAGTGGAAGATGGTTGGATATTATTATGAGTTGATAGAAGTTAGACATGTACAGCATCGGACATCGACTCAGTGATCTAGAGGTTATACTCTTTTGAATGAGAGTAGGGGACCTGGGTTCGATTCTCTGTAGCAAGGTTGTGGATGTCTACTTCTGAGGAGTTCCATATTAGGACGAACCGTCCGTTCAGTGCTTCCTTGTTTTTAATGGTGGTCTATGTAAGATCAGTTCGTGATTTAAATTATTAAAACTCCAAATTCTTCAAAAATCCATCTACACTAATATTTCATAATAATTTAACGCATGATAGATAGATAGACAGCTTTTAGAAATTCTGGATTCGATTAAAGGCAGTTTTCACCGGAACCTAAAAATAACTAGAGAAATGCTGAAGATCCGAAGATAGCAAATAGCTGCTTAATCCTAATTTTCAAATCTTTAGAAATATGTACCACCAATTACAACTCCGTCATACTTAATTGGATCATTAGGTATTTCCAGAAGCATTATGTCATTTAGCTATAGAGTTATAATCCAATGACATAAGTAACATTCCTTCTTACACTCAACCACATCATAAATTCTACTTATTGGAATGTTTCAGTGTGTGAAATCCACGATCTACAATCATTTTGTTGTGAATTTAAAACAAACTTGATCTATTTTGTTTAGAACTATGTTGAATTGATTTTCTAAGGCTTACATAACATATGTGACTGTAAACCAAGTACCAAATTCTTCAAGTACCGAATTGTTTCAGCAGGAGTTGATTGCGTAATATCGACCTCGTATTTCAAATTGGACTGTATTGATTTCAAATATCAGAATGATATATTTGTGACACAACACAAATGTACGTGTCTAAATCCTGGTTATGATTGGAAAAATACAACAAATTACTGGATGTTGTTGATAGATAATATTAGTTTATATTATTCAGATCATTAATAAAATTTAAAATTGTGTAAGGTCACAATTCATAATCACTTTCTATTATATTAATAATAATTAGCACAAATGGTTATGTTTTTAGTAAGTTGATCACTGGGTTCAATATTACCCAAATTAGTGTTATAACTAACATGAAATTATATGGATTATAAAATATATGAACGATAAATCGCTTGATATGATTGTAACCAAGTGACGTTTCCCCACAAATCTGAATCATTTAACAAAAGCCTATAATAAACGGATATTACAAAGGACAGTATAACTCGTTAGTATAATAATAACATAACATACTTACATATACAAAATGTATAACACATAAAGCAAACATAATTAAAGTTCGGTGGATAGTGGCTGGCAGTGGAATCCAGGATGTTTGTTTCGTCCTATTTGGGACTCGTCAGCTGGATGTACCTGCATCTCAGAGTTGACGTTCACTCTGGGACTCGAACCCAGTGCCTTTCGCTTCAAACGCCATCGCGTTATCCACTCAGCTACGAAGTCCTGATAGTTACTTGCTTGTGCAATGGAGTGAAGTTTAAATTCACTTGGTATTGTTCGGTTGAATCTTCACATTGATGTTTTTTAGGACTGCAACTGGTCAGCCTCTAATTGGCATATGTGCTTGCTTGTGAATTTAGGCTATATCGAGTCAATATGCACAGTATGCACATATGCCAATTAGAGACTGACCAGTTGCAGTCCTAAAAACATCAATGGGAAGATTCAAACAAACAATACTAAGTGAATAATTAAAGTTCATCTAAAACACAGAAGATTATTGAATTCAGATATCTTAGACTAATAGATACAAGGCCTAACAATTAGGCTTATTTAATTGACCATCATATTAACTAGAAGACGATTCATTTGAACTAGTTATTCCAAAATTTAAATTGTATAAACATTTCTAAACCATTTGTCATAATAGTACATATTAGCTAGAAATTCCTGGACAATTTAATGAAAATCTGATGAGTAACGTAAAGGTAGATTACCTTTTTGCAGATGCTCTACTAAAAAAGAGAGCAGTCAAATCTATAAGAATGGATTTGAAAAGGAAACATATTTGGACAGGACAGTAGATATATTTCTTTAGTTTTGTACCTCTGTAGTACAAAAGAGACCGGATAAAAATATTCTGGTTATAATGTAATCTAGACTTATTACTGAAGAAGAACTGATTGGGTAACGTATTACACTAGACAGCATACAGACAAACATAAATACAAAAATCAGAATACCTGAGTATTCTGATTTTTGTAAACTGCTAATGGGTAAATACAAATCATCTTTCTCTACAGTTTAGAGGTGAAATATTAAGCAAAATGATTTTTCCGCAGGTTACACAAAACGGTCCAAAGAATATTCAGTGCAAGGAATCTACAACTAATGTCAGATAAGTAATTAAAGTATTTCATACATAAAGGGTGTTACGTACAAATTCATGTATGTACAACATTTTTACATATGATAGATTAGGATACGTGAAAGGTCTAGAGTTGATATCATGTTATTACTTGACTCATCTTACTTATGTATTTATCGTTAATTTTAATCTTGGAACTCCCATTATGGCTTCTAAAAATTGTTCAACTTAGCAAATTACTATTTACTTAGCTAGATAACCATCAAAAGCCAGAAGGTATTAGACGTCTGTTTTATCCTAGTATGCGACTACCCAGGAATACGAATCCAGAGATGGAGCAAAGGACCTTCGTGTCTGGGGGCGAGCACTTAACCTTTAGACTACTGGGTAAATTGAGAGACAGTCATTCATTAATGTCATTGAAAGATGGTCATACAGCATCACAATGTGATTGAAGTTAGAAATGTAAACATGGATGCGCACTACTGAGGAGTCCCACAATAGGACGAGACGGCCGTCCAGTGCTTCCATGTTTTCCCTGATGGTCTAGCTTCAATTGGCTCTCGCTTTCAACTATCAAAATGTAAACAATTAGATTCTAGCACAAAGTAGATATCGAATAGCTGACTGGTTTTAGCGGTTGTTTAACTAATATCAGTCTGTGATGTAAAGTATAATGTATTTAAGAAAAAATTTGTTTACCGCAAATTTAGCTAATTGTGTTGATGATTAAATATATACTTGTTAAGTCAGAAGAACTTTCATTGATCAATTAACTGTTGATTACACGTCGGCTAACTGAGTTATATGTATATCAATATATGATCAGTGTTTTTTCCACTGAGTACTTGGCTAATTGTTATATCCCGTGAAGATTTAT